TTGTTGAGTTTCTTGGGGGATTTTTGTTTGTTTTTGTTTTCTGGAAACAAGGTCTCACTCTGTTGCTTGGGCTCTCGAATGATCCACCTGTCTCAGCCTCCTGAGTAGTTTGGACTACAAGTGCATACCACCACACCTGGCTAATTTTTCTATTTTTTTTTTTTTGTAGAAACTAGGTCCTGCTATGTTGCCCAAGCAGGTCTTGAACTCCTGGTCTCTAGTGATCTTCCCTCCTTAGTCTCCCAAAGTGCTGGAATTATAGGCGTAGGCCACTGCACCCAGCCTATGAGTTTGTTGTTTTTAATGAAATCTGAAGTTTTCCTGGGTATGGGAAGCTATGTGGTGAATATATGTCCTGAAGCTAGTGGGTGTTTTCACTTTTTCTGTCATCAATTTGAGAAGTGTTTACGGAGGCATAGGTGAGGTTTCAGAGCTATTTGATATGAATTTGACTGTTTGGTGGAAAGGATGATGTACCAGGTGTGTTGTTATAACCTGTGTGTTAGGACCAAATGAAGGGAACTTTGAACAGACCCACAAATAGTAGGACTATAGTTAATTTTTTAATATCCTTACTATATTTTGACTCTTATTTAACTAGTAGGTGTCTTTTCTGGAAACAATGTTTGCTTAGAGAATGCAAATATTAATTTGAATAGCCTAAGCAGAAGAGGGTTCATCATCTTTCTTTTAAGGGACAGGTTGCTCTGTCGCTCAGGCTGGAGCGCAGTGGCACAATTATAGCTCAGTGTAATCTCGAACTCTTGGACTCAAGCGATCCTCCCACCTTGGTCTCCCAAAGTGCTGGGATTGTAAGCATGAGCCGCTGCGCCTGACCTCATTTTTTTTCTTTTTTTTTTACAACCAAATAGAAATTAGGGTGAATATCTTTTGCTGCTTCTATCAGCTATAATCTTTCAAACCTCTGATTGTCAAGATTCAATAGCATATATAGTATGTGATGTAATAGTAGGAAAAACGGTTGTTAAGGTAGTGAGTAATGATTCACTGAGGATGATCTGGCTTAGATTTAATCAGGAAAGGTGGATGGCTAATTAACAAGGTTTGTAATGATGGAAGGTTGTGGTTTTTGCAAACACTAGGATGAATTTTGGAGAGCCTGGATCCATGATATTTATTCATTCAACAAAATTTTTTGAGTGCTACACACATGCTAGGCACCAAGGATACAGTGGTGGACAAATCCAGGAAGTCCATTCCCTCATGGACCTAACATTCTAGTTAGTGGGGTATGTAGAAAGCACAGTTGCTTGGCCTTGCTGGGGACAGTGAATCAGGGGAAATTGGAGTGTGTTCTAGGTCTGCTGGTGAAAGGTTTGCTTTTCCGTCTTGCTGAGTCCGAGAGCCGTTAAACAACTCTCACCTGCCCAAGCTCTCACTGCCAGCCTGTTTGTGGCAGAAGTTGATTTGCTTCTTTATACAAGCCTTTTGATTATTTAGTAGGACTGATTCATACCCATGTCTGTCTTTTCTCTCCTTCCTTACAGTCTGGGAGGAAGAGTTATTTACTTCTCCTGTTAGAGGTTTTGATCTTGTCTATTCTGTTCCTCTCAGAAAATCCTAGGATTTTTTTTTCTGTCATCATACATTTTTAGTTTTTCTAACTTCATTTTTTCCCCCTTAAGCATATAAACCTGCTTACATTTTTTAAAAAAATAAAATTCCTCTAGTTAATAAGACATCACCTTGTCCTTC